CATAGACATATCTAAAAACAGTGGAGGGAAGATTCTCTAGGACCGTTATCCCCAGGTACTAGTCAAGGGTGTGGAGTACAAATACATTGTCGTGGACTCTGTTGTCCCAAGCTTGGACCTTTAGCAAGTTGTTTAACTGCCTGGATTCTCAATTTCTCCATATAAAAGGGGAAGAAAACATTAAGATGAATTCGTAAAACACCTATAGATTCTTTTTATATTTCTCTGAGGGCTGAGCCCAACTTAGAGCTCATTGCCTCTCAAGCATTTTTTATTTTTAATTTTATTTATTTTATGTGCTTGTGTGTGTGCTTGTCTGTATGTGCACTACCTGCATTCAGTGCCTGAAGAGAACAAAAGCAGGCATCAAATTCCCTGGAACTGGAGTTACAGGAGATTGTAAGCCTCCTGTCGTGGGTGCTGGGAACTGAACTCAGTTCCTCCACAAGAGCAACAAGTGCCCTTAATCTCTGAGCCATCTCTCAGCCCCCACATATGGATTCTTAAAGCTCTGAAATTTTTGTGCTTCAATTAGTGTTATCTGTTCTATTGACTAGTCCCTCAGTGTCACACTTACACTCACGCTCAAGAGAGGGCTGGCAAGAAGCAAGACAAAACCCTTTGCCATAGAACTTTATTTGCACTTAGAGACAGTCACAGAATATAGGGCCAGAGCACATCTGCCTGCATCTGCATGCTCCACCACCCATCCATCTTGCCTGTCACCCGAAAGAGGCAGAAGCAGCAGGGGTGAGCAGGCGGCTTCCATCTGCCCAGAACACCTAAGGCAAAAAGGGCCTTATATCAGATCCTTCTCCCAACCCTTCCCACAAAGAAGCAGGTTACTACCTTTTCAAACCAAAGAACCTGAGAACAGAACAATTCTGGTCTGACTCCTCCCTATATAGGTTCTCTGGATGTAGCTATAGTGCAGTCAGGGTAGTAGAGACCTGGGGCCTCCCCACCCCACACTGGGCTGGACTAGAGATTGAATTTAAGCTTTTATTTTCTAGTGGTCCTATTTTTTAAAGTTAACAGAGATGAAAATAATCTTAATTTTTACTTAACCCTAATATTGACATTGATGGTGAACATTTGTTAGATTCTTATCTAGTCTTTTGGGCACCTATTGTTTCTGCAAAGCTCAAGTCATGTTGCTCATATAATGTTTCACCCTCTTGTTAACTATATCATCAAGTTATTCACAACCATCATCTCTTAAATAATATCATAAACTCTCCATCCCTTGGTTGTATCTTATTCTTATCCAGTGCCCGAATGTTGGACAGTTGTAGGTTTTCACCATTGCAAGTAATGCTGAGGTGAATATTTTTGTGTTGCTTGTATTCTTAAGGCCTTGATATGAGTCTCTCTAACATTTTGGCTATTTTTAGCAAAATGGTTTTTTAGTATCACAAACCATTGTCATCAAGTGATTTCTGACTGGCTAAGACACTGAAGGTTCTTGTGCAACTTTGATGCCTGGCTCTGTGACCTAGGGAAAGTAACCTCACTGCCTGTGCCAGAGTTGTTCCACTTATATAGTAAATTGATTGAATTAAGTGATATTTTAAGAGTCTTTCCAGCCCTAGCCATCTCTTTCACCCTCACATCTGATCAGTTAATCCACCAAGCTTGTCATTATAAATCATCATAAGCAAGTCATGTGAAAGTCACCACCTACAGATTGTTCCCATCCCTTCTCAGAGTGCCTTTTGAACAGGCCGTTAGCATGGCTCCTTTGTGATTGGGGTGTCCGCTGCAGAGAGAGATTAGTTTATAAAGTTAACATTGAATTATAAAATAAAAAGATAAAATTAAATAAGAGGTGTGAGAGTGCTTGGAGCGGCACCAAGGGGGCACAGACGCATATTTTCTTGATTTGAATCTAAACTAGGCCTCAAGAGGCCCCTAAGAGCCTGTTCCTGAAAGACTTGCAGAGGTGTTCACAGTGAGCCACTGGAGTAACAAATGTGTGCTGCCTCACCAGCCCTGCCCCACACACTGGGGCTTCACCAAGACAAAGATGCTACAGCTCTCCCTAAAGGGCTGACAATCTAGAGGGGGAGACTGGAACTCTTGTACATAGAACAAGCATGCCTCAGGCAGTATCTTCAGTGGGAAAACCAGATGGAAAACAGAACAATTATCTGAACAAATCAGGCAAGCCTGCTGTTGAGGAAAAGGCTTAAGGAAATTTGTTCTATTTCCTTTGTGAAATAGGGAGTTGGGGCAGCCTGGGGAAGCAAAAGTACTCACCTCAGCTCTGACCGTGCACCACCATCTCAGGCAAACCACAAAGCAGTTTGGTCACAGTATCCTCATCCTATTAACCTTGTCCAAACCCAGCCACCCTGGAGCTGCATTATGAAGTTGAATCCAATGATTGCATTTAGGCAAACTAGTTAGGAAATGGCACCATCTGAAAGCCACATGGAAAATGTGCCTCCTAAGAATCTTTTCCTTTTTTTTTTTTTTTTTTTTTTTTTAACAGGGGCTCTTTTTTAAAGGGCAGCCCCACCAAACCCACCTTTTTTTTTTTTTTTTTTTTAACCAAATTTTTTCTTTTTTACTCCTGTCTGCTTTCAAATTTGATTTACAGACAGGGTCTCTATTGTAAAGGCATGCACTACCAAGCCCAGCTTTTCTTTTTTCTTTTTTTAGACAGAATCTTTCACTGTTAGTCCAGGCTGGCTTCAAATATGTGATCATCCTTGCTTCAAACTCTTTGAGTGCTGAGATTGCAGGCCTACACCACTACACTCAGTAAAGACTCTGTCCTCTGAAGGGGGGATTGTTTAGTAATCATAAGTAACATCGGTATTCAACTTTATAAGACATCTTTACGTGCATGTGTTATTTGTTGTTTGTTTTCTAAACCCCATGTAGTAGGTACTCTCATCTGCTCCTTGACACTTGAGAGCACAGAGACTGTGAGAGCATCAATAACAAGTCCAGGTTTGCACCACTGTGAGGACCAGACAGATGCTCTCGTTCCTTGGTTCTGTCTTTCTTCTAAACTGTGTAGCTTTCTTATCACCAAAACATTAATATTATTCACATGACTATTAGTAATGTTTGCTATACGCATCTCCTTTTGATCAATGGCATGAAGGCATGAAAATAGAAACTGAAGAAGAAAGTGCCTGACATGTGGCAACAGCAAATTTACTTCTTCCTCATAACGAACAATAGCTGTCCCCATCTGATTTACATTTTATGACATACGGGGGGGGGGCATATTTAAGTTGACAAATAGGATGTTTACAACTGCAACAGATACTTGGCAGTTAGTTTTTAACAATTGTTGCAAATGTGATTTATTTGCTATTATAAAAGGGTATTACTGTGCGAATATGACTCCTGAAATTAGCTTCAGTTTAGCAAGGGGCCTTGACAGCTTGACCCCTTAATATCCTTATAATGATGCCATTTACATTCAATGCTTACTCAAGTCACTCACTGATAGATTTGTTTGAAACAAGTCCACTCTAGGGCAGATGTATTATGTATTTTAACATACAGAGTTGGTGAGTGGAACACTTGTAGGCCTTCTAAGAGGAAAAAATATTTAATCAAGTCTTCATGGAAATGTGTTCATTTCTAACTTCCTACAGTGAAAATGCATTACTGCTAATTATAGCATACTCCAGAAATACAATACTTCATGTTTTCTCCACAAGATATTTCCATGGCATGAGTTATATTAAACAAGAACTTGCTCTGATCCTCTGCAACTTTAACTTTTATTTGACTGGAGAATTGGTACTGCCATTTCTTCCATCAGGAATGGGAAGAGGGTAGACTTGGAGCCAGGCAGAAATGGGTTCAAATCTGAGTACTACCACTTCCTAACTGTAGATTCGGCTACTTCCTTGAACCTGCTTCTTAACCTATAACATGGGCTGATATTTTTTTAAAGTAACTCCAAAGATCAGAGATGTTTATGAAGCACCCAGCCCAACATATGTACTTGACCCACATGCACATGGCTTTGCTGCTTGTTTAAAGCTCAAATGTCACCTTTGGGAGGCAGCCCTGACTTCACCAGGCAAACACAGCCTGTTCTTCCTGCTTCCATCTCATTGCTAGCCTGCATTTTATGCTGTACTTTGATGAATTAAGCATGTGTGGATCTGTCTTCCTGATGGACAGTCCCAGGCCTGTTTACCTTTTACTCTCTAGTGACTCGCACAGGGTTCTGCCTTGAGCATTCCACTAAGTTGGATTCTGAGGGTTATAAAGGACAAGGACACAAAGGAGAAGGAAAAGGTAGGACATGACCTACTTTTGTCACTGCCAGTTTAACATATAGTAGATGCTCAGTAAATATTTATCAAAGAAATGAATGGACATTATTCAGTCATCTAGGAGTTGACAGTAAAGCATAAACCTCTTGCCTTTCTTTTACAACATTTAAATTTTTATGCATCACACTTTTCACACAATCCTAGGTGTTAGCATCAGTTCACGGTTGAGGATACTGTGACTTTGTGGGTTGATAAGGTGATATTCCTGCACTCACATAGTAAAATGTGGTAAGTCAAGGCTAACCACCCTTTCTCACATTTACTCACTCTGTCTCACCTTCACTCACCCGTTACCTCTTCTCCTTTTCCACTTTAGTTTACCACCCTCCGAAGCTTCTATCCAGTCTCATTTTCTCAGTAAAAACCATTGCACTGACCACCTCTGAAATGGAAAACCATAGGAAGAAAAAAAAAAAAGTCACCAAGCGCCTCATGAAACCGGGCACCTCTGTTAGATCGACTTGGCCAGGTGTCTTCATTTCTTTAACTTCCTATATAACCTCTTATGTTCTGAAGAGAAACAGACCTCATTCCTCAGCTGAGTGCTAACAGAATCAGAAGCAAAGGCATCAACCCCAAGTTCTGCAGCCACTAGTTTAGTTGACCTATTGATCAGGTTAGGGCTGGGATGGCTTTCTTTCCTTTCCTGTCTGTCTCACTTGTGCATCATCTGGCTCCCATTCTGACCAGGTATGGGCAACAGATCTCAGCCTCTCCTACAGTGACCAGCTGTCCTTGACTCAGCTCACCCTGTACCTGACAAATGGCCATCTGGATTGTAGTTTGAGTACCCTGGAAGTGCCCTGCTTTGATCAAGATAAAGAAAGGAAATTGAAGCGCCTTAACATCCAGGAAGAGCTGGTAAGCAACAGATATTCCTGGTTGATCTCACAATAAGCAGAACCCAACTGCTAGATAAGTAGGAAGAAAACAAAACACCAGGCAAGTTGCTGATCTGCTATAAGACAAGGTCCAGGAAAAGAGAGTAGTGCGCCCAGGAAGAAGAAGCAGGGCACAGAGAGAACAGCTTTTCCATTTGTGTGCCTCCCAGTTCCCCTCCTATTTCCCTATCTGGTGTTTCAGTGAACAATTATTTTTGACAACTCTCACCCTATTTTTCTAGTCCCAATTTCCTTTTTGGGTTTAGATTCCTAGATCTAAGACTCCTGGACCTTGCTGCTTAGAGTCTTCAGGTCAACCTCTTCAAAACTGTATCATCCTTTCCTCAATACAGCACCTTAGAGGATCAGGCTGAGGCTGATAAGACTCACCCTAGCCCCATATCCTACCAGCAACCAGGCTGCACTGATTCTAGCTGCTAAAACACCTGGGATCTGCTCCTCTTCTTCCTCCACGAAGATATTGCCTTACACTCCGCTCTCACTATCCCTTACTTGTTCTGTAGCAGCTTCCCCAAGATCCCCACCTCCCTTCTTTCTCCTTGGCCTAAGCACTACAGTGAAGGCCTCTGAAAGGTAAAAAGCAAATTTAAGCATGGGGCTATACTACCCAGATTTTTAAAGTGACTCCTGTGGCGTTCCTGGCTTTGTTAGTGAGGCCTCCCATGACCTGCCTCTTCTCACAGTCTCTTTTCTCATCACTGGTTTCATCATGAAGGTAGGTGTTCAAGACCTGAGACCTGCTGATAGCAAACGTTGCTAACCACAGTACCCTGGGTATAAAGAGCAGGTCTCCATGAGAAGAGTGGATGCCTAGTGGAGCACATTAAATAGGTCATGGAGGGAAAAATAAGGGTCAAAGGATCAGATCACTCTTGGTGTAAGAGCGTATTGGGGTTCTACAGCCACAAATGCCCTGACTGCTGCCAAAATGTTTCTACTACCTTCTAATCCAGTGAGTTCCGTGTCCTCCTTGAAAATGAAGCTCCACTTGATGTCCAAATAAATTAAACAGATTTTCAAAAAAGAAAATTTCAGGATCTAGAGAGATGGCTTAGCAGTTAAGAGCACTGACTGCTCCTGCAGAGGACCCAGGTTTGGTTCCCAGCAGCCATATGACAACTAACAACCATCTGTAACACCAGTTCCAGGGGATCTAATGCTCTCTTCTGATCTCTGCAGGCATTGCATGACATGGGTACACTTGTATACATGCAAGCAATACACTCATACACATAAAAAAATAATAAATTCAATAGTTTTTTTAAAAAAAAAGAATTTCAGGGTTTAATGGAACTCTATCCCAAAACCTTTTTTGAGCACTGTCTCCTACCTCTCTGCTAAATTTCATCAGATCCAGATGCCTCCAGGGTTAAAGGACCCAGACTGACTTTGCCCTAAGTCTCCCACTCTCCTAGAGGGGGTACCTGATATCTTGGGTGTTCAAGTGGCTTTTTCCTTTACCTCCTTAATTCAGTTTTTCTATGAGATGCCAGCCAGAGGCTTAGCACAGGTTTCATTTCAGTGAGATGGACTGGGGATGAGAAACAGACATCCACCTAGGGCCTCTATCCTCACCAAAAGGACTCTTGGTTCAGTGCTAGATGGGAAGATAGCAGAAAACCTTGAGCTGTTTTGGTTAGCAAACCTAACTCCATGCCAAGAAGAGGTTGATGAAGCCATTAGTATGCAGCACTAGCCTTCCAAACACAGTCTGCTGCACCTCAGTGTGCAGCTTCAGGAAGTCACAAGCAGCAGTTGGACCTTGAATGAGCAGCATTCTTCCATTTTCCCCATCTCACCTCTAGGCCTCATTCATAGCTACAGGTCACAGATGGGAATTCTCCTGTGATGAAGACTATTAAACCCTTTTAGGAACGTTAGCATTTGAAGCATTACGATCCTCAAATCTCTAGAATCACTGCAGAAAAGCTATGTAGGGTTTCTGATGTGAGAATAAATTGGACTTCAGAGAGAGCTAGACGCCTCACTTGGTACCATTGTTCTGTGTGTGCATGTACAACAGACTTTTTGTTAGAAAGAAGCATGTACCAATGTGCACACAACACAATGTGCGACCAACCTAAAGCTTCCAGAGCAAGCGTGAACACACTGTGATACTGTCATGTTCACCATCAAATCATGTGACAGCCTCCATCTGAAGACTGAAGGAGGAAACTGAGAGATCACTATGAAAGGAACATTTCAATGATAATGATCCCATGCTGATAATGACAGCACCCTCAGCACTAAGAACTATAAAGTGCTTCTAGTTTGATCATACTCCTTTAATGATATGCTATACTGGGGAAAGCAAAATAAATAAATAAACAAGGAAAACAAGCAAAAAAAAAAAACTGTTGTAGATAATCAGAAGAGCTCAAGAGTTGTTCCTCATGAGAAACAGGTAGCAGGACTGTTCAGACCTGCTTAGACAGGTGAACAGGCTTCTGATCCAGCCTCCTCTACAAACAAATGAACAGAACACACTTGAAGGCATAAATAAGGTCTGAGAAATCCGAGATGTGTGTGTTTTAGAAATAAAAAAGGAGGGCTGAGGAGACAGCTTAGTTAATATAGTGCTTGTCACACAAGCATGAGGACCTACCTGAGTTCAATGCCCAGTACACCATAAAACTCTGGACGCAGTGCTATGCACCTGTACTCCCAGCACTAGGGAGACAGAGATAGGAAAATCCCTGGGGCTTGCTGACCAGCCATCTTAGCAGAGCCTGGAAGCTCCAGGTTCAGTGAGAAACCCTGTCTCAAAAAATAAGGTGGGGGAGAATAGAGGAAGACAGACAATCAAAGTCAACCTCTGGCCCAGAGAGAGAGAGAGAGAGAGAGAGAGAGAGAGAGAGAGAGAGGCAAAAGGGCCACTTTTAAACTGTTTTACTTTCAAACATCAGAAATGACATAAATCATCACTCTTTTTTCTCAGTTTTTATTCTTCCCGTCTCTTCCTGGACCTTCCAAACCTTAGTTGATAAGTGGCCAAAAAGAATCATCTTTGCTAGCATCTTAAAATGACCTGAGTCATTTATACACATTTTAACAGATATGATCTGTAATGAATGATTAAGTAAAACCTTTTGTGTTAAATTATGATGTTAATAATGATTCTGTCTCCTGTAATTTATTATGAATTCTCAAATGCTTCGGGTTTGATTTTGATAGAATACAACCACAACAGAGTTTATATGATGACTTTATTTTTAGAACTCCTTCTTTGAAGGCACACATCTCCCCACTACTGCTGCTACTGTAATTATGTACAAAACCGATCACTCATTAGAGTTAGGATACATTATCTTCTAGACAGATGAGGCTAAATAAGCAACACATTAATAATTCAGAGAGCAGTTCATTATGCATGTGGATGCCTGCTTCGTAACTGAAATAAGAAACTCATCAGCCTCTGCCAACCCTTAAACAATAGTTCTGTGTTATTGCAGCCACATTCCAGTTTACGCTTGTTAAACTGCTACTTGGATTATTTTATCAAACATTCATTTATTTGTGGTCCCTTACTGCTGAGAACAGATTTTAGAAGCTCCTTTTTTAAGTTAATGATTTGAGCAATGGGTGTTATTAATTCTCAGAATATTATAAACATGATTAATTTCCAGGCAGAGATTTATTACATCAGGATTTCAACTATGTCAACTGAAATGCATCACTGTCAAAACAAGCGTCATGGTGAAAAGAGAAGATGCTCCTCACTTCAAATGCTGGCACTCAGAACTGAATCAATTTAAACTGTAGCTGAAGCAAAATTATATTCTCCAGTGAAAAGGAGTATTTTGGGCTTCCTTTATTTAGCTTGAAGCAGTCTTGTTAGACTGTGATTTAGAAAGGTAGTTTAGTAAGACTAGACTTATACCAATAATGTTTTGTACATTTATTCCCTCCCCTGAAATTCCCACATATTCTGGATGTGGCCAGTGAGAATTTGGAGTGAGGAGTGCTGGTCTGGGAGTCAGGGATCATGAATTCTGATCTTTGCTCTGGCCTCAGTTTCCTTAGTTATAAAATAAGGGAGGGTTAAATGATCCCCAAAGTCTCCTGGGTAATTTGACTTTATGGGGCCTGGCGAATTGGGCTGTGTGTAGGAAGCCTGGCCAGCAGCCTCACATACTGAAAAGGGCTGAGGGGGAAACATTTCCTGTGAGGAAATGCCAGAAGGCCCATCCTTTCACACTGCAGCTCTCCTGAAAAGGACTTTTGGTTGATTTTGATTGGTGTTGTTGCAGTCACTTTTAAAAAGGAATGATATTGTTATGACAGGCCAAACCCTAAAACTCCATTAGTCATCGCTTAGTGTATCAGTCAATACTCAGCAAGAATCAACTCAAAGTAAACTCAGCCAGTTTTTCATTCAATATCTATTTGTATCAGGTACTTAACTAAAGCACAGAAGAAACTGGGACACATAACAGAGAGCTCCAAATTTATCAAATGAAACCGTTAGGGCAGCAGGTAACTATGCCAGAGCAATTACTGTGACAGCAGCGTCAGAGTGTTTTGAGCCTTACTCCACATCAGGCGTTCATTGTGAGCCTTACGTGAACTTGTTCAAAACCCAATATATTAAGCAGGTACTATTATGCTCATTTTCAGATACAAAAATTCAGGTTAAGAGAAGTTAAGCAACATGCTAAAGATTGCTTAGCAAGCAAATGGTGAAGGTAAAGTTTAACTGCAGGCCTGTCAAACTTGAAACCTGTGTGTTTAGCCAGCCTTGCATGGAGTCAGGAATTGGGTTCCTGTGAGTTTGAGCTCCTTCCTGGGGAAGTCTCTAGTTGAGGCCACAGAACATTCTTCCCCAGGGCAGATCTACCTCCCCATGTGACAAGGTTGCTTCCAGGCAACCTTTTCATCTGGTCTGAGCTCAACCAAGCTCGGTAGCATGAGTTTGGATGGGCATAGAAGGGTTGTAGATTTTCAAAAGGAAGCAACAGT